GCTTTACAATCCTGATCTAAAATCTTATGCAGCTATAAAGGACAATAAGTATTAGTAGCCAAAAAAAAAAATCAATTTCTTGGCTTTGCAACCTAAAAATATAGTGATGGTCCTATAGGGAGAGAAAAACTGCTGATTAGTGGTGTGTGGTGTTTTTTTTTTTTTTTTTTGTTAAATGTGGCGTGTTGAAGAAACTGCTTTGTTATTAGAGGTCAAAAGAATATTTCTGGAGAGTAAACTCAGCATCTCAGGTTTTGGTTTGGGAGGTCAACGACTCTCTTTGTTGCTCTCCCTCTGAGATTGAACATACTCCCATGGAGATGTTTCTGCATGGTTTGTGCTGATGATAACCCTATCCTTATGACCTGGTAACTTATAGATCTGATTTTTAGCTCCATAAAGTTAGTACCAAAAATATTTAGCCTTTCATGTGCTATCCAATGAGGATGCAAGTTTCCTGGCATCCTGGCACAAGGTCTAGACCTTGTTTAGCCCTTCTCTGTGAGAGTAGTAGGGAAAATGACAGAGGTGCATTCCATCCCCGTGCACGGATGAGCAATACTCCAGACTTGGTGGTCCTTAAAACAGGGGATTTATACATTGATTCTTTGGGTCTCAAGACCTATCCGAAAGAGTCGATGTTGAACGGGACAGGAACCAGCCATACTCCCATCTTTCTCCAGCAGCTACCGCTGGTTGGATGGCCACAATGGAGACCATAACCAAGCATTCCAGATGCGCTGCTTGGCCATCACATCCTGGGAGCTTTGTCTCCTGTAACTATTGCTGAGGCAGATAAGCCTGTGTTTCCTCAGAAGGCCACTTTTGCTTCACTAATGCAGGCCATCAGTGAGTAGTGTACTTAAGATGGGCCTTTCTTCTCATGTTGGCATTGAGGCAGGAAATACTGAGGTTTTATTTCTCATTTTGTGATGAACGGAAATATTGAGACACTGATCGAAGACTTGGTTAAACCATATTGTGTACCTATGTTGGTATGTTGTTATGATGCCATGGCCTCTTTCTAAATATTTGCTTTTCATGGCTATTGTTGCCTGGAAGAGGGAACATGGTCTTGTCAAAGCTTTCTTTCCAAGCAGTGAATCACAAGGCAATGAGCCATGGGAAAGGTTAATCTAAAAACTGAAGGTACACTAAAAAGATGGCACTGGTGTTTATCGCATTGGCGTAGGACTGGTGCTGTAAGAGCCATCTGTGGAAGATGGAAATATTCCAGCTTGTGGAAAGGACCACAACAGCACTCTTGTGAATTGATCACACACTGTTCGAGGCCTTCACCTCACACGTGGGATGCATTTCATACCTCTGAGATAACCTACACTGAACACTGTATGCTGAGATATTGTGCAATTCTTTCTACACACAGCAGTCATGAACTTTCCTCATTTGTTTTTTAATCACCAGGGAGGATTATCTTCAGGACAACAGTGTCTGAAATTCAAAATTATGTGTTTTTTAAGCAGGCTGATGTTTCTGAAATATTTTACACTCTCTGATATTAGATTAGTCTGAGACAAGATCTTTTGATCCTCATAAAGTTTTAATGTTATTTTGTAGCTAAGCTGTTAATAACTGGCCAGAGATTTTTATAGATGTATGTGTTTGGTTTCCACTGAGATTTTAAGTTGAAGAGTCATTTCCTATACCCTTCATATCCCAGTCCAGATGTTCAAGCCCTATTTTCCTATGTTCCAACAGATGGATGCCAAAAAATTAGGGAAAATTAGTGTTTCTCTCTCTCAATATAGTGTGTATATATTATACTGTATTACTGTGCTAGAAAGTAAAATGCAAAGGGCTATTGCTCCAATCTCTTCAGTTATATTCTTTGCTAGCACAAGAAAGTACTTAATTCTTTTGCTCTGATGGTAAAAGTTCTCCAAGGAAGCATTATTTTTTTCTATCTCAGGTCAGTTATAAGGCAGCTGACTAGCACTAAGTCCCTCCTGGTTATTTTAATGGTAGCTAAATAGTGCAGAAAGTGAGAAACCACAAATTCTGCTCTTGATAACATTACATCCTGATGTCTGCAGTAATCAGCAGCATGCTGTCCAACACATAAAGGTCTCTAAATTAAACGAGGGTTTCAATTTTCCTTTCTGACAAATAATTTTCCTTTTTTTAAAAAAACCCAATAATTTCAGAGATAGACTGTCAGAACTGCATCTCGTTTGCATAACTTAAAAATAACTTCATCTAAAGAATGATAAAACCACATGAACATAATGCTAGGTTTAGGAAAGACATTTTGACTAAAAACAAAAAAACAGAGAAACCCATGATATTTGTAATATGCTAGCTCTAATTTTAGTGATATTATTCAAACTTAATGCTATGCTTATTTTTTTCTGGATCTGGGTCTCCACCTCAAAATGTTTTAATGTCAGAGTAAAACATTAATTACCTTATGTATGAAAATTATCTATAAATATTCTGTACCTCGAAGAAACCGTAACTTTGAATTTCCCGACCCTTAAGCTTGTTATACATCAAGCTTCTTTTCACCTACATCAAACACTGGACTTTTTTTGTGTATCTCTTCAAAAAGCGAGTGAAGCAATCACAATTCCAATCACTGTATCTTAAGTTGTTTTTCTCTGTATCATCTCCAATTTGTCTACATATGAACAAATAGACAAATTGAAGATGATGCAACAAAAATGATCCAGAGATTTAGCAAATATGACCTGCGAGGAAAGATGAAAAGAACTGAATATATTTAATTTAGCGAAGACTGAAAAGAGACATTCGAAGAGGCTGCAAATACAAAGAAAGAGAGGGTGGTTAATTGCTTTCCATGTCAGACAAGGATGCAGAAAGAAGTTTCAGGCACTTTTGCAGCATGGAAGATTTGCAAAAAGTTTCCATCAGCTTTCTCGAACACCAAAATAGATGTGAAGTCCCTCTCGCTAGAGATTTTTAGAAACACAGTACATAAGCATCTTTCAGGGATATTCTGAGCATATTTTGCTTCTGCATAAAGCTGGACTGAGCGATCGCATGAGAACCTCCAGCCCTACCAGTCTGTGATCAACCTGTTCACAGTCCCAGGAAGAAATTCTTCAATCTCTGCTTATTTTTTCATCAAGGTTTCTATTAGCTAGTCTTTTCATCTCCTCTTAGGAATGGGCAGGCACTCCCTTTACCTCAAGTGAAAAGTGTTTTTTGATTTTCCTTCATTGCTTACTCACCTGCCATTGCTCTAATATGGAAACTCACTCTTGAAGGAATAGGCACCAGCCTTCAAATCCTTGTAGCTACCAAAGATTACATTATATATCATGGAAAAAAACTCAAGCTCTTATCTGCACAGTAAATGTTAGCAGCTGGGTTAATTGTGAGGGTAGAGGACATCTTCCAAGGTTCCTAAGACAGCCATATCTTGGAGATCCTGTTTTCAAAATGCTCTAATGCAACCTCTTTGAAAGCAGTGCTCGAGTGCTACTACTTAACAGGTTTAGCATTGCTAAAAACTGAGAAACCGATGCTGCTGTTAAATTTCATTCTGCACACAAGCAAACAGTTTATCATAGTCTGTTCCCAGCAATTCTAATCCGATTTTTGTTATCTTACACTGTTTAAAAAAAAAGAGAGAGAGAAAGAGAGAGAGACACTGTATGTCAATCTGATAAAAATCTTTAAATAACTGGTCCTTTTTTGTGATTATGTCAGTTTTATAGCAGCATTATGGAAACACGACAGGGTAACTAAAATCTGATTATGTCTAAGTCCTTGCCCATTATGTGATTATTATGAACCATGACTTCTACTGGCACAGTATGAATTACATGGTCATAATACAAGGGATTTCCAATATAATTAACTGAGATTAGCAGCACTAAAGAAATCTGGGAATAATGATACAACTTTGAACAATCAGCATTACTGTAAATGCTGGTGGCTCTGACTTCCAGGAAACAGGAGGCTGGGGAGGTAACTGTGACCTACCTGCTGTGGTGCTTTACATCTCCTTTTCTTTTCCTTCTCAAAGCTGAATAAATTTAAACCTTGCCAGAGTCCTAGAAGCTCCTTTTATACTTCTCAGTGTTTCACATGATACTGATAAAACTCCAGACTGGAATTTTCAAAAATGTCTAACATCCATAGATGCCTCCTTTTGGGGGACTTGGCCTGAGACCAGAAAGGACTATGCTTTCCACTTACTGGAGAACAGATCCATTTAAAACAGCTCAAGCTTGAACACTTAAGTCATGAAAAATCACATATCAGTTTGAGAGATCATAGCCAAGGTCATTCTCTTTCTTTCATTTCTGTAGTGGGCAAGAGATGCCTTTTTTTTTTTTTGTAAAAAAAAGAAACACCATTGTAAACAAACAAACCTTAAGATTTTGGCATCTTAGCTGCTTAAGGAAAAGTGGACTGTGTCCAGAGAAATCTGCTCACTAGTGGATCTGTCCTTTCTCGCACAGAAAGAAAAGGTAGATACATAGATACAGCTGTCATCTTTTGGCTTAAAAAAATTAAAAATAATAACAATAACTGGGGGATCTGGGGAGTAACTGCTGTACAAAAGAGGGACTGTGAGATGTTCAGAGAGGAACTATGGAGGGGAGAAGATTTTATAACTCATTAACTTTGCAGTATTTACTTTGGTACTTTTCAGTGTGAGCTCTCCCTGCAATGCTGTTGAATAGAAGCTATAAGTAACCCTTGGTTATATGCAACAGAGAATATAAAGAAGGATTGCTGAAATTTTTGCCTTGCATCCTCGAATTCAGCAAGAATAGTGTTCCCATCACAAATTACCAGAGGCTGTTTTTGGTTCTGCCCAGTGCTTCCTCTCCTCCCTCCCTCCACTTTTTTATAGCTGTTAATTTTCAGATTTCACATGAGATTGCATCTCAGGATTTTTGTTAAATCACACACATTCTAATTTTGTGCTCCTTGTTCATTTTGCTAATGTTATCCCCACTCAGTGCAACTGCAGCCACCCCTTTTCCGTGCGGTGGTGCTCGTACCTCCAGTGCCGTCCTGAACTGCCCCGCTGCCACCGCGTACTTCTTCTGCCTGTAGCAGCCGCTGGCATCTTTTAAGGTTACCTGAAGCCATTTGTCAATTTGTGGTGAATTAGGTGCATTTGGAGCATCTGCTTCTTCGGAATTGTGACAGGCTCCTTGGGTGCCTGTGGACACCGCAGGCTCCGCAAACTCAAAGGCAATGTCCTCCTCATCGAGGTAGACTAACTTCACTTCCACATCCATTAGGCTTTTCAGAGGAATATGAGATAGAGGTCCTGGGGTTAACTGATTGCCGGTCTCCAACACTGTCTCTTCTTTTTTTGCAGCTGGCTTTCCTTCATTTTTTAATTTCCAGTTAGTTCTTGCTCTGTTTACATAAGTACTTCGTTTCCTCCTCTTTCTCTCTTTGGTTCCCTCTATTCTGTTTTCTCCTTCTTTATCCCCAAGGTGCTTTTTAACCTTTTGCGCTGCTTCTGGAATATCATTCAGTTTGCTCTCTGCTGCATTTGACTCCTTGCTGGTATTTATTTGCTGAGAGGTTTCTTTCGGGCCACCCATATTTCTAAGAGTTTTTTGGAAGTCTGTGTTGCTTGATGATTCCATAATTTGAGCAAAACAGAAGAAGAGTCCTAGGAGAAAATGAAGAAAAATTAAGAAATCTCAAATGCTGCAAAGTCAAAAAGAAGTGTAAATGCTGTCTTCACTAGACTTAGAGTTGCCACTGTTACAACTGAAAACTCTTTCATAGCATTTAGTATTTTATCAGGCTTAGCACTGCTGTTTTCTCTTTACTGTGTAAAGATTTATAGTATCTTTTTGATAGCTCTTGATAAAGATTGTTTATTTAGAGTAATACCAGTATGTTACTTGGTTATATCTAAAACAAGAAGGGAAGAATCTGGCTTTTAATGGAGAGAGAAAAAAAAAAAAGGCAATAACCCTATGACTGCTTGATG